GGGACACTGTGCAGCCGCTGCGGGTCCCCGGGCACGGCTCACCTGGCTTGCGGCACACCCAGCTCGGAGAGCTCAGGTAACCAATGCACACAAAAATGACTTTCGGATGCCCCTCACCGAGAACAGCATCAGCGCTGTACAGAATGGTTCTACCGCCAAAAAATCTTAACTGGACATTTCTAGAGTAATGCCAGCTTATCTTTTAGGTTTGCATTTAAATGCAGAGTTTTTAACAAATGTCTCGTGGGTTAGCACTGCCCCACAAAATACCAGCACATACTTGACAGCAAAAATATCTACTACTAACTGTAGTCGATAAGGAGTACAACAATGAAAGAAAGCCCCAAGTGCACAACTATTGTAGACACAGTTTACTTTAACGAAGTTATGACTAATTATTTATCGTAAGAATCAATATTTAGATATTGTAGACCAATGCCCAGATTTTATAGTTTCACATAGAAAAACCTTGATATAAAGCAAGATTATTCTCCCAAACAGGGATCTCTCAGTCTTCCGGTTTGCACACAAAAACCCTTCTCTGAAATGCACAAATATAGGCTACTGGGGATGTTGCTTCTTTCCTTGGATATTTTAAAATCAGACTAAAGAATTAGGGTTTTAAAACTACTTGTTCCAATGCCAATTACCGAGTTTCCAGCAATTCAGAAAACTGAAAAAGAAAACCAAACACCTGTCCAATAGCTTCATACAGGAAAGACAAACATTTTAAGAAGCCTTATGTTTTGAACTGTATGTAAATATTCTCTTAGACTTCTGGATCAAATCCCTTCGTTTTTGTGAAGGTGTTTTAAGTTGATGAATGTTGTTTTAATTTTCTCTAACAGTTAAAACATTCAGATATACTAATATTAAAAAGATTTTTGTAAAGAAAGTATATACTATTGAATTCAGAGTAACCCTCAGCATAAGAACTGTACACTTACTAAGAAACTGAAAAATAAACATGTTTTTAAGCAGTTATATTCATTGTCTCTACTATGCCAACCTTAAATGCCCAAGGAAAAAGTGCAATTACTGTTATGAAATACACTTTGTATCGGGATAAAAGTATCTGTTGAGCTCTGAAGCAGAAACACACATTTATAAAGTAGAAAGAACACATATTTAAAAATCCAAACAGGTAAGTGTCTTGATACTTTTCAGTAAAGAACACAGGTTCTATTACAAACAAGTCTGTGGCAAAAACGTTCCAACTGAACTAAGATCTTCTTACCAAACTGATCCCCTCTTTACAGTCCTGTTTTTCCTTGATCTAGGGAATTATCATTTGATGTATTTATTATCTGCATAATGAAAAGCAAAGGCAAAAAAATCACATTTTTAACTGCTGAAAATTATTACTGTATAATCACATGAGCCAAGACTATTAGTATGCAATTAAAGGAATTATTCTACAGGAAGCAGAAAAAATGATCACTTGGGCAAATGGACAAGGTATGGGAATCCAAGTCCTTTCACTAAAATATCAGCCTTAAAAAAAAACACACTGCACTTAAAAAATATCCCCAGTGTACAAGTCCTTGTATCAGCTGCAAATTAAAGCTGCCAAATTAGAGTTTAAGCATTAGCTTAATTAGAACAATAATCGCCCATTACTCAAGCTGTGTTTCTAAAAATACACCGATTTTATTACATGGACATAACTTATTACATGTGTAATTCCCTTTTGATTAACTTTATAGCTGCTTTATTTATACCTTTCCATGTTTTGGTTTGGAGGGGAAAGAGAGAAAGGCAGTATTAGAGAAAGAGAAAACATAATTGCATCCTCCTTGCCCTAGAAGTTCTATACCTCCATTTTCTTTGGCATATGTTGTGTCTCCAGTTTTCCCAATGGATGGACTTTTCTCCATAGTCCAGCTACTGCTGACTGCTGCTCAAAGTGTGAGCAAACTCCATCTGCAGAGCGAGCATTAAACCCACGAGATGCAAAGAGTGAAGCAGTCCAAAAAACCTCAACCCTGTAGCAACAGCGCATTTGGCACTCACATGAGCACCCTGGAGGTCCAAAAATTTCTGGAGAGGTGCTCCTGGCTAAAAGCCCAAGTTAAGTCTATTTCTGACTTGATATGAAAGACCCCCTAGACATGTAGCTACTGCAAACAGCTGGGTAGGTTAGAAGCAGGCAAAAGAGTTACTGCTGGCCTTTAAGTATCAATTAAAAAATTATTTTAGTCTTTATTAAAAAGTTTCTTGAGATCTCAAATTCTGTCATGTACCACTCAGCAGAAATCCAAATCAAAATGAACACTGTTTACAAGCAATAACTTCAGGAACAAAAACATGTAAATACTATGGAAATTAAACACTAACTACAAGGTCATTCCCCATAATTGAAAAACAAGAATAATAGCCTCTATTTCAAAACTTAGCATTTCAGAATTCTAAGAATTCTCAAAAAGCACAAGATTAAAACCACTGTGACTTAGCAGCAGCAAACCTTAAATATACAAGTAACACTCTTCTTCAAATATTTTAACTTTGTAATTCTTAGGACTTGTGTTTAGTTCTTATAGGTAAACCTCAAGACACAGATTTTTACTCACTGCCTTAACCTGTTCTGTATTATTAATATTGGCTAAGGATATTTAACTCATTGAAGTGTTGCATTTTATTTCAATAAGGAAAAAGGATCTGAACTGAGAAGTACATATTCACAAGTATGAAGCTAACAAAGCACAACAAACACACCAGGTTCTGACCTTTAATCTAAATACTGGACTGCAGAAGATTACAAAGAGCCTATGTTTTACAAAACTAATCTGCACTTATAATCCACAGGTCAAAGTGATATTCATTGACTGTATTTAATACAAATAATATTTTAGATTTTAAATGCTTTATTAATAGCACAAAAATGCATTATTTCCAGGAGGATTTATTTTATCTATAATAGCCTTTAGACAAAGTAAAAGAGGTATCCTGCACTTCTATATACCATTTGTACCCAGGAAGTACAGCTGTACTTTACTATTTTCTTTTTTAAAACCAAACTATGTTGAGATTTGGGTTTATTCTTCCCACTCCAAAATGAAACCATAAAACAGTGTACAGGCTTGCTTCATGAGCTACCACCAGCTAATTCAAGAATTAAATTTAGAAAAGCAGAGAGGAGGAAAACTATACTCAAAATTGTGATTTAAATGAGCTGCATCAGGAAGTGTAATATTTGACCACACATAGATGTATTTCATAGCTTTTGGTTATTTAAATGGAAGAAGGGAGGAGAAAGATCCTTTTACTTGCCCTAATGCTTTAAGAGAGTGGCATCGTACACACAGATTTAAAACAGTTCTCAGATGTACTCTAATCAGAAAACCAAATGTGTTACTGCTTGTAGAGTTAATCATTCTTTATCAGGACAGTTCAGACCTTTAGCTTAGCTAATGAGTAGTTACTCAAAATGCCAAAGATGAGCATTGACAGTCAAGATTAACAGAGGGAGGAAAAAAGGACTAGTACTGACAAATGAAAGTGTCATTCACATGAGGTATATGACATTATCATATATAGGCAAAACCAGTGGTTTCTTAACTTTTTTGCATGTTACACACCTCTTCTTTTTTTGCTTTTATTACTATTATTCATAACTACAAGTGTACATGAAATTAAAGTCCTATTAAATAACACATAACCAAAGTATAACTTTAAGAGTTCTGTGTAAGGGTGAGAACTCATACACTACCATCCTAGCAAAAGTAAAGTTATTTTAGCATGAAGATGCTCCATAAATGAATGTAAACTTGCCAAGCTAGATTCTCCATTCCATGCAGGAAGGAGTCCCAGAAGCACTAACCAAGCTGACACTTGTTTTTTATATCCTGGAATACTCCTTTCACAATTGCTGCCATTTTGCTTCCTCAGATACAGATAAAAGATAATTTTAAAAAATTCTCTTCCCTAACAAAGGGAACCAATACTGTAGCTCATCTCAACTCCTCCAAACGTTTGGGATTTTGCACATGGATCTTTTCATCTACTAGCCCACATGTAATGCAAACTTTTAGATCCTCAGAAACAAGAAATTAATTAAATTAAGCTTATCATGCCAATCACAAACTTCAGGAAAATTTAACTCATGTAAGAAGTGTCCATAACTATACATAACCACAAAGAGTTAACACAGGAAGTAAACTGAACATAAAGGGAAAGGGTACAAGAAGATTTAAAGTAGTAATGGATCCCAGTGACTAAACCACTGTAATCAGTAATTCCTAAGTAACATTTGCTACAGACCTTACAGTCACTGTAAGCCATATTTACATGTAACACAACAGCCTGGAATTTAATTCTATTTCAATACAGTGAAAAACCATTATTTGCTTTGAAACACAAAATGCAGCAGTAAAGACAAAAATGCTGGCTGTACCTTGTATTTGGTCATGGTGCTAAAATGGTTGTTCCTGAAGAACACACAAAGCTCTCCCTCCTGGACAGCTGAAGTCAACTCACACAGTCCATGGTATGTCAATTGTGTAGCTGTGTTATTTAGGAACTGCTCAGCTACAAACCCTACAAAAGCAACACATACTGTTATGTGTGTCTATTACACACTTGCTAATGTAAGACCTGGTAACAATAGCAGTATTTTTCCTATCTCCCCCCTATGTCCCCATATTGCCACAAGCCTTAGGGAACACATTCAGAGAGGGAACAAGAAATTCCAAAGTTCTAAAACCACAGCATTGTAAGCAAACCTTCCCATGTTCAGAAATGCTATATCCACTTCTAATATTACTCATGTTTTTCCTTGTTGTAATGGAGTATATAATTAATATTCTAATTATAGGAGATAATACATAGCTAAGTTGAAATCTGAATGCTGCCACAATAGGAGAAGTTCTTGCCAGCTTTTGAAAAAGTGTATTGAATAGATCAAGAGAATGCATCAGAAAAGTTGGGAAGACAAGCACAGTGCTGTGTGCCTGCCCAGGGAACACAGCTCAGCTCACAGAATGCAGCTCTTCCCACTTGTATCTCTACTCAGCATGACCCACATGGAAAATACGTAATTTAGATTTGGCAGGGCACATACTTTGATAAAATACACAAAAACATTACCTACCTTCACTAACCAGTTCACTGTTTTCTGACTGTTTACAAGAAATTATCTTCTCCACCAGCTGATTGTAACTGCAGTTACCAACTGCTTTTACTATGTCAGCAACCTGCAGTAGGGAGGAACAACATGGAGAATTTACCTTTGAAAAGAACAGAACACAACTGCAAGCCAGTGGCAATTATTAATAAGACAGTAAGAATTCAATAAAGAGAAGATGTTATCCCCTTAAAAAAATCTAGGCAAAACCATTTTAGCCCAGAGTGTTACATATTTTACTATTTCAGATCCTATTTTAAATCTTTCAGTTAACCCTTAGCATCAAAAGCTAAGGCAGATGGAGAACATGGCATGAGCTGGATCAGCTAGGCCAGGGTAAGAGAACAGCAACTCTCACCAACAAGGCAGAAGAAGAAAAACTCTTCGGCATTATTATTCCAGCCAAACTCACCACTTTCCCCCTAAGTAAACAATAGCACTTTACTGTTTATTAAATAATACAATTAAAAATAAATTACGTTTGCTAAAGATGCAGCTCTCTCCAACCAGTTCCACTATCCTCATTTCTCAATAGCAGTGACTAATAAATCAGACCTTAAAAAAGGAGGAAAGTAACTCTGTACTCCTCACAAGTGTTCTCTAATAAGCTTTCAAAAATGATGACTGAGACACCAAATCTGGGGCAACTTGCTACTTCCCTCAGAAAAACAATTCTCCTTTACAGAGTCATAGAAGGCTTTTAAAGTAGTTTGACTATAGACCCAGGCTCTGCAAAGTTCCTGCACTAAAAAACAGTCTATATTCACTCCTCAATTTTCTGACTAGATTAAAAAACTTCATTACCATATTCAATATTGCCTTGTTAAAATTCGGAAATACCACCCCTTGCACTAATAACATTAAAAATAACTTTTTTTTAATAATTGAAACAGAATAAGTTACCTGAGGGTCCACTAACCATCCATGGTACAAGGGGATATCAAGAAGATCAAACACTATGCACTCAGGTGTGTATTCAAATACTCGGACACCTGTGAACTTCACATTGACATCCAGACCCGTCTGCAACTTATGCAGAATTGCCATTGCATCACTCATATTCTGACAACAGGAAAAAAAAAAAACAAAAAGAAAAAGGAACAGATGACCTAATAGAGCTTTGTTCACTTGGTGGTTACTCTTATAACCCTTCATCATTTAGTACTCATCAACTTAACACTTCAAAATAAAGAAAAAATTTAAAGGGTAAATTACCTAAACAAATGTTTCGATGCACATTCACCTTACACATTGTGCCAGAAGATGTATGAAATATAAGAACCTCCCTCCAATCACATCTATTTCTTTTTTACACCCATAAACTACTTTTAGGCAGTTCTGATTGCTCTAGGTCTATTTCCAGAAGTCACAAGCTAAATGTTTGCAAGAAAACTGAATTATAAGGGAATCTTCGAGGGACTTTTCTTGAGGTTTCTTGTCCCCTTTTAAGCCTTCCCTTACAAGTCAGGCTGAAGTACTTGTCACTACATAATGAACAGTAAGATCTACACAGACCCATTTGCCACCTCTAAAATTTCAGGGTTCAGTACTTAGAATCAGAATCTTAATTGTTCACCACGTTTTTCTTTAATAAAAAAACATTTGCTGTCTTATTTTGGGCATACCTTTCAATGGCCTGTAGATGCTACTGCAGAAAAAAGTCATGAAAGTAGCACTTATTATAGTAGTGATTCCAATGGAATCCTAAGGAGAATTATCAAGCTATGAAGTTCCAATCATGGAAAGGAAAGATAAGCAAATGTGCTTTGTGAGACAGTTATCTTGAACCAGCAGATAAAAAACTTCCTGACATGCAGGAAAACAAATTTTCCACTAAGTGAGAAAAGCCCACAGAAAGTACGGTCAGAAAGTCTGTACAAAAGATTTGGGGAAACTGAGGCACTTTGCTGTTTGTTTGGGGGTTTTTGGGTTTTGCAACATTCTGTTGCTTAAGAGGAATTCAGGCTTACAACAATGGGAAAGTAGCATGACAAAGACCAGAAATACAGATTAGACAGGAGATGGAGACAGCAAAGATTCAGAGACTAAAATTACTGATGGTTAAGGGCAGTTGCTTCTGTTGTCTTCTGATCAGATTCTGCACTTGAGCACGGCTGCTATAAATGAGAGTTTTAATGTTTGTAGCCCTTTAACTGCTCTGTTCTGTCAGGTTTCCATGATCAGGAATAGAACAGCTCCCACTATCTTACTTGTTGCTTCATCTTACTGACAACTTTGCTGTATCACAGGGTTTAGAATTTAGCAAGATTTTGAAGTAATTCTCAAGACTGGCTTCAGCTTTTAAGTTTTTATTATTTTAAAAGCAAACCAAACCACCTTAACAAGTGCCTGTCATTAGTAAGGATCAGATATCAAATAAAAAAACCTGAGATGTTTTGAAAGAAATTCTGCCATAATCTTTGCTAAATGAATAAGTCCATAGTAAGTCAGCACTATCCATCCACAAATTCAGACCATACATCTACAGACAATAGCTGCATTTATTTTGCAATGTTTACTTTGCAAACAAAGCAGGATTACATCAAACAGACCAGAAAACCACAGAAGATTCTCACTAGAATTTCAACATTATCACTTCTACTTCAGCTATTTCCGTACCTTCAAAGCAACTTAGAAGACTTCTAGAACAGAAGGCTTCTTTGAAATTACACAGTTAAAAACTTACTAGGTATGTGACATTTATGTAGTAAACCTATATATTTGAACAAAAGACATATATAGAGGTTGTACTTTTACCAGGCATAATAGTTTTCATCACCCTCCTGAAAGTTGATGATAGCTATAACCTTCTACAGCATGGAATTGTGTGGGGAAAAATAGCCAATTTTGTTATTACAAAAGTAATTTCTATAATCTGATACAAACCAATCTCAAGTTACTCGATTTGGTTTTCAACACTGAATGAGAACAAGAAAAAATGACCTAAGAATAAACAGAACTACCTCAAACTCTTACATCTATTAAAAAATCCAAATTTGCTTTTCCGTAAGTAACCAAAAAAAACAGCTATGAGTACAGACAGAGCTTGGAAAATATATACTAAATCAATAATTTTTAAAACTAATAGCATTAAAGACTTCTGTGATGACATATAAATAGTGGCCAGTGCAAATAATATTGCCTTTCATAACATGGCATCAAACTCTTTTTGTCCATCATGATTAAGAACACAGATCTCTCTTACTCAGTTTACATCCTCAGAGAGACTCTGGCAGGCACCACAGAACAGAGCAACTGAAGGACATGTAACAGAAGACTTCAAAATGCAATCACCCTGTTACATACTTTTATTAGTACCTTTGTGTTACAGTTTCTCATTAAAACCCATTTTACTTCATTACAGTCATAACAGGGGGGAAAAATTGTCTTGTGTTAATAGATACTGAGTTTTTCTTCACTAATAGCACATATGTAAAATTATTACTCTACATCAAGAAAAAAATCAAGCTACAAACAATGGTCTGTATGCTTCCTGTTTTTAACAAGGTGAAAAACTCTGTGTGAGAAATGTAGTTTTAAGTTTCCTCAGACATAAGCAACTGTGTTTTAGGAGCAGCTCCTTACCTGCTCATAATTAAGTCGCTGAATTTCAGATATCTCTTTAGGTTTTGCGTCAAGAATGTAGTCTCCTGAAAGAAAGCAAAAATGAAATTAAATTTATTCCACAATCAAAGCTTCAACATTTCTATGAATATTTCTGACTGAAGCTGACTGATAATAAATAAATACCACAACTGAAGTTTTCTACCGAAATAATGAATGCACATTGTTTTATAACTTGAATTACAATTATGGACTAAAATATGAATATTAAAAACTTAGTAAGATCATATTAAGAAATAATATTCAAATGGCCAACACTTTTGTTAAAGCAACATTTCATAATCTCTTCGGTATTATACCAATCTCTTCATTATTCAAAAGCTGACCTCCCTCTGTGCCTCAGCTTAAAAATATAAAAAGGTCACACTGTTCACAGTAAGGTATGTAATTCTGTACACAATTTGAAAAGGCAATCACTTATCTTGATTGATACTGTGAATGTTTTGCCACGTTTTATACACCAGTAATTCTATAAAACTTGTTGTGCTGGTTTTGACTACAGTTAACTTTCTTGGCAGTGGCTGGTGTGGGGCTGTGCTCTGGATTTGTGCTGCACACAGGGCTGATAACACAGAGGTGTTTTTGTTATTGCCCAGCAGGGTCACACACAGCCAAGGCCCTTCCTGCTTTTCACAGGGCCACGCTGGTGAGGGTGCACAGGGGGCTGTGAGGAGACACAGCCAGGACAGGTGACCCCACTGAGCACAGGTGACCCCACTGAGCACAGGGATGCTCCAGACCACCTGACACCATGCCCAGTATATAAGGTAGGGGGAAGGAGGAGGAAGGGGGGGGGACATTTGGGGTGATGCCACTTGTCTTCCCAAGTCACCACTGCAGGTGACATGGCCCTGCCCTCCTTGGGAGGGCTGAACACCTGCCTGCCTCTGAAAAGCAGTGAATTAATTCCCTCTTTTGCTCTGCTTTCCCTATACTGAGTCTTTAACTCAACCCACAGGTTTTCTGGCTTTTACCCTCCCCATTCTCTACCTGATCTCACTGGTGGGGGAATGAGCAAGGTGCTGCCTAGGCTTAAACCACAACACTTGTATTCCACCTGTGTCTACAACACAAAGGTAATAAATTAGTCAATGGTTAATCAAAGCACTGAGTTTCAATATTTATAACATCTTTAGAGCCTAGTATCCACTTTCCAGATTTTTTCAATGCTTTTGTACTTATTCCCTTTCTCCATTACTAAACTCAGAAAAATATCATTATAGGTTTCCTAATTTATACTCTTTTAAGTGGTTGAAGGCTGTTTTGTTGTTTTCGGCTTTTTTTTCAGCTGTAGAACAACTGTAACTGCTAATCCTGTTGAGTGAATAGGAACCTAAATAATTTGAACACAATTTTATTATTCAATTTAATAAGACAATTCCAGAAGCTAAAATAAGCCTTCAAGAAAGACTACACATCTAGACAACTGAAATCATGCAGTGACTTCAGACAGTATTGTGTCATCAAGGCAATTATAAGAAATGTTTAGACACATGGAACGAGATTTCTTTTTTTTTTTTGGGAAAATTATGCAGGTACCTTTTTTCTTCAACCAGAAGAATCAGCAATTTGCTTCTGAAAAGAACAAGCTATGTTCTTTACAAGCAGATAAAAAGAAAATATAGTAAGGGTTTTTTTCTCCCGCTTAAGAAAAATCAAACCTAGTCTATTAAGTTCCAACATTTTATGTTTGTCAGGCTACAAGGGAAGGAAAAGTGGTACATACACCTTAAGTACTATCAAAACTACACTTTTAACACCTGGATCATCAGGGGTATTAAAGTCTCAGCTCTGTCAGATGCAAAGAGCTGCAGTTTTGCTGAACAATGAATACAATACCAGATGAGTGTTTGCAAATGAGACCCCAATCACTGTGAGGATTACATTAATTTTTCTTGTTATTTTAATTGGGTCATACTTCCAAGGATTAGAGTTACTATAGACAATTAAAGACAGAAATGACTTACTACATTCTGTCAACTCTAATAGAACAACACTGTAAGAGACGAAGAATTTTAAATATCAATGTGTTCGTGCACTAAGCCATACCAACAGCATCAACTAGACCTATCACTTTGGAAAGCAGTGCAGAAAACTTCTAAAAACAGTTAAGGAAAAGCATGAGTAACTGAATACTGTAAGCAGTTTTCTTGAATCACATAAAAAGCTGAATAGAATAGTAAATAAATAAAACAGTTCTGTGTTACTAAGCACTACAAAGTACAACATACAAATGAAAGTGATTTATTGCAATTACTAACCTAAGTACTCCATCAGCTGTTCAGCCGTTATGATTTCCATCATTGGTGGCAGTTTAATCTGTCAAAGTAAGAAGTACATTCTCTTTAAAACACCAAAACACTACAATTTTAAAAGCATGGTATTTCTAGACAGAAGACTTCTGATTACATTTCCCTCGCCAGTTTATAAGGCCATTAGCATACTAGACCTCTACTAAATAGCAGCTACAAGAACAGATTAAAAAGGCGTTTTGGTTTTTAGACAAACCACATGCACACAGCACTTTCTTCCTCCTGCACATCTCTGCATAGTGCTCCCTTCCCACCAAAACGTTTCTCCAGCATCCCACTCCACAGGAGCTCTCAGCACTCACTGCAGTGGCTCAACTACAGGCACTCAGAATTAACAGACTGGGAACTGTTAAGAAAACTTCATTTCCTCAAGTCTTTGACTCCCTACCTTCATTAAAATCCTTAACTGAGTATTAGCTCAAAAAGTTCCTGCATACAGACAGTCTCTAAAGGATCTAGTGTCAGTAGCTGCTGGGACAGGAAAGTCAAAGACTTGTGCAGTTATAAGGAAATGACCTCTCAGCCTCTCATCCCACGTTCACATTCCAAGGGTTTGGTTTAATTCCACACAGAGCAGACCAGACACAGAACTCTGTGGTGAAGATTCCATTCCTCTCTTCCCTGATCTGTTCCCACCATCAGCACCTGCTAAAACCAGCCACCTTGGCAGAGCTAAAAGCTTCCTGCATTCTCATCTCTTCCAGCATCCCGGGTAAATGTTTTGGTTGAACACTTCCATTTACTGCAGGAAGAAGTGCAACAGCCAAAGCACAAACACATACAAGGACATGCTTCTGACAATCTGAAGAAATACCACAGGAGAACAGGCTTTAAACATAGTACACTCAATTTTTCTCTGCATAAATGTGAATTTTATTTTTCTAGGGTTTGGGGTTCATTTGTCTTAGGGGTTGATTTTTAAGCTCTCTTCAGTTTTTAATTTTCTCATCCTATCACCCTCCAACATCTTGCCATTCAAAGTCTAGAAAAGGTATTTATTATTAGGAATTTTTAAATCAAGTTCCTCAATACTCATCACTGTTTCCCTTGACACATATAAAAAGACATGACGTGAGATGTTAACTCATGTTTGAGATTTAATAGGGTCCATCTACTTTTCTGGTTGTGGAAAAGAAGTAGAAAGCCAGGAGATGGAAGAGTAATACACATAAAGCCTTTGATGCAGCACCCCAAACTCAAATATATAGTATAGCAACACACTACTTTGTTCACATTGTGATGGAGAGGGTTTTCAGTATGAAAACAGAGCTATTTTAATAACTTTGCAAGGAAAATGAGGTGTGATTGGGCTACATCTGTCTTATCAATTTTAATTATATTTGACAAAAGGTAAATGTGTTAAATATATGAGTTCACAAGAAATTTCATTAAATTTGGAATTAGAAAGAGACCCAAGTTAATATGGCTTTGTTATTTATACTCTAAGAAATACGTCCCTGCTTGGGTTAGAGTTGGCATATGCCACACATTGATCAACCCAGAGATAGTGGGCATATAAAGAAGCTGGTAGTACTGGGATCTGGGAAAGGAATTAAAGAAGAAAAATCAGGCATGCATGCATGGCACATGTTTTTTTTTTTTAAATATTAAATGAATGACAAGTGATTGTAACTTCCAGAACTTAGCTTTTCCCAAAACTAATGCTTAATAGCCTAAATGCTTTCATACTTTTTGATCCTGTTCACAATATTCATACTGAGTATTCACATAGTGTATTGAGCCATGTAAACAATAGGACTAGAAGTTAAAAAAGCTGCTTCTTAAACTCCCAGTTGGGACTGGCAGCATTCATGTCTTAGCAAACACTAGCTGTGCACACCCCTGAGCCAGGGCTCATCCCAGCTCCTAAGGCACAGAGCAGCATCACCTCCACCAGCCCTGCCTGAAGTGCTACAGCACAGATGTGCCAGTGTAATATGAAGGAACTCTGCTCCCTCAACTGCTCCCTCAACTGTTAACTGGGCTTCTGTAATGCTTCTTTCAGGACTGAAGTTAGCTCTTTTTATTATTTATTTAAACCATTGGTATCAGCTCAGCCAGCCTTGCTTGGGGGTTTCTGTTCTGCACCACATTTGGAACCTTTAGAAGCAAGCTTACATGACAAACACCAACTCTAAAGCACAATTACATGGCTTATCTATATTTGAGCTCCATGTACAAATAGCACAACATATTATGTACATCACTGGTTCACAAATGGAACTTTCCCTCACAAATGTAAAGCTAACCGTTTATTTTTTTACTGCAGAAAAAGTAAAGTGGTTTTACTCGTATCTCAGGGATCTCTCGAAGCTGGATATTTTAGCAAGCTAAATTAACTGCTTGATTAAATGCTGAGCAAAGTTAATTGGTTAAATGGCATAATTTTAGGGCTGACATGTGTAGTGGGACCTTGATCACACCTTTAAAGTGCTTTAAAGGCTAACAGGGTTCCAACACAGTTTTAAGTACTTCTAAACGGAGCTGACTTAAGGATGTAGAGAGAAGATGACATTTCCCAGCTGTTCAGAGCTTCATTGCAAGCACTTAAGTAAGCAACAGGAAACGTACAGTGAAGAGGAAATGGGAGAGAAAAATACCTTGGAACTTAAGGGAGAGCAAAACATCATACAGAACCACAGTCATTATCCAGATAAATCAGAAGAAAACAATGTAAGAAATGGCAGCAGAAGCTGCTGCTGTCTATCACAATCTATTATTTTGAGGGACACATTTTCTCAATAGGTTTCAATGTTCAGTTGCTAGATTTTACATCAATTCCACATTTTAGGCTAAAATGTATTTCCTCAACTCCCACCCATTTCCTGTACCCCTCTACCACAGTTTCCTGGTCTTTTGCCCTGATGGCTCTTTCTAACTCTAGGTACATTTTACTTCCTACACTCAGGAGTGGGAAACTTAGTCCTTCTCACACAACTACAGCATGACATACAGTTGAGGCATATTTTAATTAAAAGAAGAGTGGTAAACAAATTGTCATATGGAACAGATTGTCTAATAAAACTTACACAGTTCCTATAAATTAGACTACAAACCCCAAAACTACATAATACTAATTTTTCACCATATTCTTCCACACTACAGAAGGGCTTAAAAAAAATTAAGTGATATAGTCATGCACAGAGGATAACACTTCTGAAAATACTATGAATATCAAAAGGGTCCAAGAAAATTTCTAATGGCTTATATAATAAGTCTTATATAAGACTTAAAGTCTCAAAATATGTTTATCTAAAACATGCAACTCCTCTGAACAGAGTGTTCCAGAGAGGTAAGGGTAGCTTCAAGCAGCTTTGACAAAAACCAATTAATATTCTCTGCAGATCAGTGCCGCTGGCCTGGCAGGAGCAGCTTCATGAAGCAGTCACAGGACAGCGAGTGCTGCCACTGCAGGTCCTCAGCGTGTCCCCCTCCTCCAGGCTCCCTCAGCCGCTCGGAGCGAGCTTGTTCTGAGCCGGGGCACAGCTCCAGGTGCGATCCGCGGGCTCACCGCATCCCACAGGTGCCGGAGGAAGGGAGGCTGCCAAGGCCCGGCCGAGCAATCTGTGCCAAGCCCGGCCATACGGGCGGCCAGCTCAGCCACAGGGCCAGCAGAGGCGAGGGAAGGGAAGGGCCAGCAGAGGCGAGGCGAGGGAAGGGCCAGCAGAGGCGAGGGAAGGGAAGGGCCAGCAGAGGCGAGGGAAGGGAAGGGCCAGCCCGCAGAGCCGGCACCGCCACTGCGGCCTCGCACACACGGAGCGCCCGGCAGCGGGAGCTGCCTGCGCTCAGCTCCTCTGGAAAACTCCATTTCTATCAAAACCTACAACTAAGAATTTCTAACCAAAATTTTTTACTCTATCTCTTCTCTGCACATCAGTTTGGATACATCTAAGCAAGAAATGGTTACATAACGTTTACTTACGTAATTGTTATGATACCTAAATAGGTAATTCATAGACTTCTAAAAGTTACCAAAGTTTTAGTAAAACTAGGTGTGTAGGGAACACAGCCTCTTCCATCTCTTGAGAGGATTATGGCACAAAAAACTTTCAAAGACATTTCCAAATATGCAACTGGCATTGTTCTCCTACATAAGGACAAGATATTCCACACTTTTAAAGACAACATTAATAATATTTATACTCAAATTGTATAATGTTTTCTCTTTGGTTATTTTATGTTTCAAAATCTTCCCTGGACACTTCAGATATGTAATTTATGTGCAACATGTTAAGGCTCACAAAGTTCTTCAGCAAGAAGACATCACATCCTACCTAGGAAACAGAGCAGAATCACATGGCACCCTCACTAAGCTTTCAGCATCTGATGATTCCCACATTCCCCCCGACCCAAATTATATTTCATGAAATGCCAGAAGTTACCAAAGTGTTGCATGAACTACATCACATCTTTGAACTACATCACAAAAGGCACTTAAAGCCAACTTTGCACTGCTAACCTTAATCACAGTGAGCCACAGGCCTCAGAAAAAACTGAGCAATCTCCAGATTTAAATAAGCTTAAAAACAGTGTGCTACACTATTCTACGTCAGAGACACAACTCATGCTTGTACATACACTTAAAAATGTTTGTTTCAATCTCTACTTCTGCTTAATTTCCATAACATAAGTCTAAGTGGTTATGACACTGTTTTGCACAACACCTGTTTTGCACAACAGCTACTTTTACAAGTTGGTGTCATAGTGCTTTTGTTTTTCTTCTTAGAACGTTTCTGTAACACTCCTTTAGCAGAAGTCTTAGCTCTCCCTCCTACAGGCTCAACTGCAAGTTACACTTAGACAGGGAGACTGCAAAAACACTTCAAAAGAAAAGTAATTTCATAGTTTTAATATTTAAAATACAGCTTCTGCAATCTGCCACCTCAAAGTTTTATGTATCCTTTGAAAGTAGTGGATAAAAGAGAGATAGCAGTTTTATCACAAGCTTAGTTCCAAAACCAGGTATTTTCAAAATGGAATTTGAACAGTCACAGTGGGTGCTACTATTTCAGAATTTCCAAAACCCCAACTGCCAAACTAGTACTGCACTTAAGTTGGTTGAGACCAGACCTATCCACGGGATGACCAGAACTCTCAATCCTGTCAGGACAGAGTTCTGAGAAGGAAAGATGATGGCTGCTAGAGGGAAGAGAACCCCCAGTGTAACTGTTTAACTTCTTATTCCCTGCTGTGATTTCTATTTTCCCTCCTGATCTCCTTCCCATGCCCTTTTTCCCCATTTCATGTGACTTCTTTTCACCTATTATGTACTATGGTATTCTCACTCTGCTTTTACCTATTTTCATCTTTCAGTCTGCCTTCTTGTTCCCAAATTATAATTACTCAATCCAGTCTAGTGTTCATCTTGGTCTAGGAGGAGTGAGAGGGTGGACACCTTCACATGCAGCAAGCCACTGTCAGTGACGAACAGATAAGCTGCCACCCCAACCACTGTCAACATGGTTCTTGACTATGAACTGGGGAAAATAAAGGCCAATTTGTAGAGGCAGTAATTAGGAAAATGAATTACAAGCGTCTACAACATATAACCAACTAACAGGAAAACCTCAAACCTATAAATAAGAACTCGTGATGACAGTTTCACCAGTTTAGCTGCCTGTCTGCAACTCATGTAAATTTTGCTAAGGTTTTACATAGACAGAATTATAGAAAACTTCCTGTAATCTGAGCAATAAGAAACAGTAGGGCACTCCCAAGGGGTGTTTTGGTTTTTGCCTATTTATAAAACTGAGTATTGTCTTAATTCTCACTAATGTAATATTTGATCCCAGATGAATGTCAGTTAAAATTCTGGTTGGAGAGCAGCAGCAGAGGGAAAAGGAAGAATGTTAAGGAACAAAACCTCCAAAAACTTGAATTCTAACAACAGGACCAGTGCTATCTCATTTACATCTTTCATTAAACCAAAGATTTAAAAGGAAGATCCTGTAACCAGTCGTTTCTTTTAAAATGCTCCCCCAAATGATAAGGAATGGCAAGTTTTTCAAGTCATCCCTAGACACTAAGGAGGGAGCACAGAAAGCAAGTGTTCAATGCTGAAGCCTGTGACAACCTCCACACTCTGTTGAGGATAGCAGAACCTACATAAGGCAATACCTTAAAGTCATACACAACTTCCCTCTACTGCTTTTACTGATGCTTAAATATCAACATCACTGTAACCCAGAGTTTTCCTCCTGATGTCTGAGATATTCTGCTAAAAAAAAATCCATAGAAATTGTTACTCAACCAAGAGCGTTAATCTTCTGCAGTTACCTGCATCTAAACAAATTTCTTCTAACAACATATTTCCATTTTGACCTTTTCTTAAGCCACCTGTCACACTGCGAACAACCTCTTACTCTTCCAATACCAAATTTCTTCCTCTTGCTACTACAACATAAAAGTTATTCCTGTAAAGTTTTCCTATTTCAGGACTCCATCCTATCAGCTCTTCAATCTTCCAGGGCTGAATTGCCAGCATTTCCTGAGACGTGCCCCTCATACTTGTTTTGCAATGCACACAACCTTAGAGCTTTCTTCCAACAGATACTCCTTTCACATAGAAATGTTAATAACTACATTATGCCTTAGAATTTAATTACTTAAAAGATTGGGTAAAGAAAGTTATTTTAAGACTAAGGGAAGTCCACATCCACAATGGCTAAAGAGCAGAAGAACTTGCAGGTCTCAAAGCTGTACTTGATCACCATCTGATTTATTCATTAATTTTAAATACAATCTATACTGCATAAGTGTATGAATGTGTCCCCATTAACTCAGGCAGTTACTTGTACAAATCCATATTTTGTACAATTCTGCATTTCATACAACTCTACATACACTTCATTATATGAAACTAACCTATTTTCCAAAAATATCACCTATGTGCTCACTGCTATAAATAGTAATCTTTACTTACTAGAAACCTGTACACATCTGCAAACTATTACATATGATATATTGTTCAAGTTAGTAAACATCATCTAGATATTATATTTCAGTTTTAAGACAACAACGAAGTAAGCCTATATGACAGCAGCATCTAAGTAGTGTATTGGCAACATACTGCACAGCTGTGTTTATTTTCCAAGTTCTGTATGTCAGACATGTGCTTAACAGCAGAAATAAGCCTGTGTATTTCTTGAAAGAAGCATAGAAAGGTTTGGGTTCAAAGAGACCTGAAAGACCATCAAGTTCCAAGCCCTCTGCCATGGGCAGGGACACCTTTTACTAGACCACGTTGTCCAGAGACCCAACCAACCTGGCCTTGGACAGTGGCAGGGATGGGGCATCCAGAGGCTCCCGGACAACCTGCGCCAGTGCTTCATCACCCTCACAGGGAAGAATTTTTTCCTCGTATCTAAACTTGCCCTCTGCTAGTTTAAAGCCATTCTCCCTTGTCCTATCACCACAGAAGTTCCTCTCCAGCGTTCTCTATAATGTCCTTGTCCTAAACAGCACAAACTTCCCGCGGTGCCCTCACGCCGCGGCGGCTCAGGAGCCCGAACGCTGCCGGCGCCACACGAGCCGTCCGCGCTGGCCGAGCGGCACCGCCCGCCCGGCCCCGCCATGGCGCCCGCCCGCCCGCTACCTTCCAGGCCAGGAGCAGCACGTTCATGATGGCCAGCAACGGGCAGGGGCCGTTCTCGTTCTGGGTGATGACAGGCGTGTTCTCCTCCTTCCAGCGGACCCACTTGATGTGATAGACCGACTGCCCCGGGAAGCGCTCCTTGGAAGCGGAGAGGAGCTGGGAGCCCGCCGCCGGCCTGTCCCCTTCGGTCTCCGGGGCCGGGCCCCCCGAGGAGGCCCCCGCCACCACCGCCTCGTCGGCGTCGCTGTTGAGCTCGGAGCTGCTCGGGCAGCAGGAGTGCAGGTTGGAGAAGGACTCCAGCGAGTCCAGGCTGCGGGACTCCTCCCCCGGCGGGCTGGGAGCGCCGCTGCTCCCGGAGCCGGCTCCCGCGGGACCGCTCTCCGAGGCGGGCGCCGCTCCGGGACTCTCCGGCACCTCCAGCCCCGAGCCCTCCGCCGCCGCACCGCCCTCCGCGGCCCGGGAGGGGGACGCGGTCTGAGGGGTCGCGGCGGGAGCGGGGGACGGAGGAGGAGAAGGGCTGCGCCGCCCGCCGCCCTCCTCGGCCTCCCTGCAGCCGCTCTCGCCCGCCGCCGCCTCTCCCAGGTGGAGCCGGCTGGCAGCGCCCCCGCCGCCCGTCTGCAGCGAGCCCGGGGGCGGCGGGGGCTGCGCCAGGCTCTCCATGCCCGGCCCGGCCGCTCCGCTCTCTATTGGCACCGCAGCGGCTGCGCCTCCGCCCGCAACGCCCGCGACGCCATCACAGCAGCGGCGCCAGCCCCGCCCCGCCGGGGACGTGCGGGCGGGGGGGGAGCGGCCGCGGGTCACGGCGGGGCCCGGCGCGGGGGGGCCCGGGGCGGGGCGGGCAGCGGGAAGGGGAGGGAAACAGGTGAGTCCGGCTCTCCCAAGAGTGCTCGGTGCTTTTCCTTGCGGTTTCTTAGACAGTCATACTATAAAAAAATACGGCTATAGTGAGTATAATAGATAACTTGAACAATTTGGTTGAGTAGGCTAGTTGAAAGAGAGGAAATTTAAGTTACACATGAAGACGACATTCTTTACTGTGAGGGTGCTGAGGTACTGACCCAGGTTGCATAGAGAGGCTGCAGATGTCCCATCCCTGGAAGCATTCAAGTCCAGCTTGAGCAACCTGGTCTAGTGGGAGGCGTCCCTGTCCATAGCAGGGGACTGGAACGAAATGTTCCTTAAGTTCCATTCCAACCCCTTAACATTCTATGATTCTGTAAGAATTATTGTGGGTGTATTACTCAGACTTTACCCCAATGAACCTCTCCTCTCCCTACAAAAATCTTCAGCTTTTAATCACAATTTTAAAATAGTCCTGGGATGATAAGGATTTATCCTCTCATTTTATTCTCAGCAGCTCTCTAATTTGAGCTCCATAAACATTTGCATAAACTTCTGCAGCCTTACCTGAGGTACGTTCAGCGTAATTTTACATTCTCTGTGCATTTCCGTAACACCTTTTCTCACCTCTATCAGTGTTCAGAGGGAAGCTTTTATTCTGACACAGCAATAGGAATGGAAAAGCACAAATATGAAGGGCTGACAGTAAACTGGGAAACTTGGCACAAGTTCTAATATAAAAAATAAATCTTTGAGATGGCACAGTTGGTGGAAGTATTAGCATAAGGACAAACAAGAGAGGAAACATTGTGTTCAGATGTCTCACATTTGTATTTCCACGGGAGGATTTTCCTGTACCCTCGAATTGTTAAGGTTGTTCAAGACCGTCTCAGAATGACAAGTCCCTGTTCACTGGGGCCACTGCAACACTTCACAGTATGTAGAGCATCGGGAGAAGTCGGTGGCCTAAAATAAAACTCTGAAAGTAAGTAAATTATTTGTGCAAGGAAAAAATGTGTATCTGGTTAGGGGATGAAGGAAACCAGAGCAAAACTCTAGAAGTAAATTAGTGTTCTGCAAGGAAACGCCATGTATCCGGTAAGGGGACAAAGGCCAGCATCCCGCACGGTGTGTGCGCCCTTCGGTGCTGCGACGGCTCCCGAGCCGCGGCCCCGGGCGCGCCGGAAGCGGGAGAGGCCCCGCCCCTCGCGGGGCCCCGCCCCTCGCACCGGGCCCCGCCCCCCTGCGCGCGCGGCGGGGCGGGCCCGCGCGCTCTGGGCGTGTCCCGCGGCCCGGTCCCGCCCCGCCGGCGGCGTCTAGCGCGCGCGCGGGCGGAGGGAGCGGCGGCGCGTGGAGCGGAGGGAGAGGGGGCAGCGCTGCCGGGAGAGCCGGCGATCCGCGGCCGTTCCGTGGGCGGGAACAGTCCTCCGGAGCGGCGGGGGACAAAGCGGAGGGAGGCGCCCAGCTCGCCCCTCCCCATCCCGCCCGGCGCCGGTCTGGGGCGGATGTGCCGTGGGTAGGCGGCGGCGGCGGCGGGGCCTGCGCCCGGCGGAGATGGATCTGGCGGGGACGATAATCCTGCTGTGCTCCTGCGCGGCAGGCGCTGGAGGTGAGGAGCCGCCCGGCCTCGCGGGGCCCTGGTTTGGGGCCGTCTCCCTTCCTCTCTCCCTCTTTCTTCCCTTTCTCTCTCTCTCCGCCGTCTCCGGTGCTCGGGGCCGGGGGCGGCGGGCCCCGCTCTCCGGGGCGCCCCGGCGCCAGGGCCGCGGCTGGGCCGCCAGCCGGGCTCCCCGTTCCGCCTGCTGCTTCAGCCCGCCCGGGCCTCTTCCCCACCGCCCGGGGCCGGTCTGGCGCCCCCGCCCCTTGCCCGGGACTTTCCCCGCCGGGGACCGGGTCAGTTGCCCTCCGCTTTTCTTCCCCTCGGGTCCTTTTCTCCGCGCTCGGCTGTGCTTGTTTTCCGTTCCCGGCTCCGCTCCCGTCCCTCAGGACTTCCCGGCTCCCTTCTCTCGCCCTCGCGGCCGCTTCCCTCTCCCCGAAACCAGGAAGGACGGGCAGGTGGAAAGTTTAGCTTAAGGAAATAAAAGACGAACCCGAGTTCTTCCCGTGACTTCCTGGAGGGTCTCCCCTCTCGCAGGCCGGGGCAAAACTCGTTTGTGTTTATGGGGATGTGTAACTGTATTGGTTCCCGTTAGGAGTTGTTTTTCGGCATTAGGAGCTGGGCAGTTTCTCCACTGTGCCTGGTAATGTTTAATTGCTCAAGTCATGGCAGGGAAAGTAGTTTCGCCTTTGGACAGAAGAAAGGGTTTCGGGAAGGGTGGACTTGGGAGGGTGTTTCTAGAGAACTGTGGGTGGAACAACTGATAAAGACTTATTTCCTCTATTTCATTTGGCACCTCTCTGGTTTATCTGGGCTCTGCCTCTGTGTGCATCAATATGTAGGTTTATTAACAAAGAAACTAGCACTAAATGCTGGTCTTTCACATATTCTCAAAAAGTAACATCAAACTAAGGGAAACTTCAATAGGTTGTACTTGTGGCTAGGCTGTGAGATAAAAAGCAGGGTGATATGCATGGTCAGAAGCCATCCTGTTGTTTATATGATTAGCAGTGGGATGCACAAAAGAATTTAGGTTTTTCTTTGTAAACTTTTGTAAGCTGTCGAGATATTTCAGACCTAAATGTTGGCATGCTTTCAAGGCCTCTTTGTTTTCTGAACTAAATGGTGCTGGCACAGAACTAACTCAAAATAATTCGTTAACCAGTTGTGAGGATTATTTTCACTGTTTAATTCCAGGCAGGCAGTTGTGCCTTAAAAATCATAGTAAACTTGTTAAGTGCAGTCCTCTGGATGTATATAAGAAAGTTCGTGAAATGTGTTTCAGAAATTCCTGTTCATTTTTTTTCTTTGAGAAAAGAATGAGCGCCTTCAACATTTCTGGGCACTAGGAAGCACAGCTCACTAGCAGAAGTGCATGTCTTTGGTGTGTAGCAGTGCAGGTAAATCTTTAAAGAAATGCTGGATAGAAGTCTGGTCATAATGCCAATTCACATCTCTAAAATATCCAGTAGAACCTTTTTAGTAGAAGTCTGAATGTAATTATGAAAGATTTGCCATAGTTGTATGTTAAATTAAAAATAGCCTTTTAAGTTTAGGAGGGTCTGTTTTACTTGTGTTCATATTTCTAGAGTTTTTTATAGATTGTAAATGTTTTTATTTATTGAAAAATAGGGTTCTTCATTTGTATTTTTCCTTCTAGGCAGGCATTAATATCTGTGTGGAAAGGGCAAGTTCATGATTCTTGAAGAAGTTACTATGAGAACAGCTCAAACTGCAAAGAACTGAAAAGAACCCAACAATTTACATTTCATTTATGTGCAGTGCATCTGGCCTTGTTAATTGCACATTTGAAGCTAAGTTGAATTTATCTGTAAAGTTGTCTGGTTTAAAGCCACATAGGTATTTAATAGTAATAATTTTGGAAATTCCGTTAATCTGCACTTTAAAATTAATTAGGGGTTTGTATGTGGAGTCTAAGACTGGAGTATTTTTACAGGATACCTGAGTTTGAACTCTTTCAGAATTATGCCAGGCTTTGTGCCTGTGTACTGTGCAGACACTCTACGTATTCTATTGTAGTAGCCTTTATATATAAAGGTATAGAATAACAGAACCAACTGTAACATTAGCTCACAGCTAACTATGAATCATAACATCAGCTTTAAAAAAATGATGCAGCATAATTTGGATAGTTTATTTGAGAAGGTTTAGTGAAATCTCTTTATTTTGTTTAAAAAAATATTCTGTTACAGTTTGTTATTCTTAAAATTATATGAAGGGAATGAAATCAAAAGCAACCAGTAGTGCTGCTACACTGGTGAAATGTACTGCAGTGTCTGTCTTGGGTTGCTTCTTAGCTTTTGGTAGGTTCTGTCTGTGTGGTTAAAGCAGACATGTTATTAGAAGTTTGGCCTAACAGGCCCAGAAACATTCTTGATCAGGTTCTGGCATTAGATCCTTCTAGTGTTCTCTTCTGCTTTCTTTCCTTCCACTGCATAAATATTACCTTCATAAAATCAGTAGTCCAGCAGGTCAATTTGAGTACTCTTTAAATAGTGTAAGAAGGAAAAGCCACACCATTTGTTTTGTTTTCTTTCTGATAGTCATTAAGGAAAGTTAGAAGTTAGCTTCTAGTATATGATGCCTACTTGAGATAGGGTATATGTACCTTGACTTGTAAGAATTCTTTTTTTAAAGTGAATCTCAGCATTCCCCAACTCCTCTGGAATTGCTTGGCTTAAGGGATCTGTTCACTCACTGGTGCTGTCATGAATTTTGATGTGTGTGAAGTGGTACTTAAGCTGGGTAATATTATTGGCAGCTTTTTGTAGCGTGCTTTGTTGCATGTGATGAAGATGCATGCAGGTATATTAATCAGTACTTAATTATCCATACATAATGATGCTCATAGAGGAATGGAAATAACTAATTTAACCTCTCCTTGTACCTAAGGGTCGTTTAAAAAAAAAGGAACGGGCAATAGCAAACACAAAGAACTGTTGAGACCTCTAACAAGCTTGGATTTTAC